GTCGAAAAGTCACCGATGTGGACAAATGATTCAATATTGGTTGGCGAATCGATGAAGTTAACGTTCTTCGTCGTATGTCCGAGCCGGAGGAAGGATCAAAGCTCTCAAAGCCATCGAGGAATCCGTCAAAGCCAAGGGAAGGTCTTCAAAGTTTCTCTCAAAGCTTCGAGGTGTTCGTCGCGTTCTTCATAAAAGGCGCAAACCAGGCCCTCTTCGATTCAAAATTCAAAGGGACACGCCGCCAAAAGTGTTATGGAGCACCAAATCCACCTCTTCAAGGATCAAAGCTCTCAAAGCCGTTGAGGAATTCTTCAAAGCCAAGGGAAGGTTTACAAAGTTCCTCTCAAAGCTTCGAGGTGTTCATCGCGTTCTTCACTAAAGCAAACCAGGCCCTCTTCGATCTAAAAGTCAAATAGACACGCCGCCAAAAGCGTTATGGAGCACCAAATCCACCTTCTCAAAGATCAAAGCTGCGGATCGTTTAAAGAGGACATCAAATCCAAAGCTTAGGATCAAATCACCCGCACGGAGACCAAAGCCCTCCAAAAACGGCAAAGACAAATCAAAGATCAAAGCTGCGGATCGTCCAAAGAAGACATCAAATCCAAAGCTGAGGATCAAATCGCCCACACGGAGACCGAAGCTCTCCAAAAGGCGGAAAAGGCAAACTAAAGATCGAAGTTGCGGATCGTCTAAAGAAGACATCAAATTCAAAACTGAGGATCAAATCGTCCACACGGAGACCAAAGCCCTCCAAAAGCGGCAAAGACAAATCAAAGATCAAAGTTGCGGATCGTCTAAAGAAGACGGCAAATCCAAAGCTGAGGATCAAATCGCCCACACGGAGACCAAAGCTCTCCAAAAGGCGGAAAAAGGCAAACTAAAGATCAAAGTTGCGGATCGTCTAAAGAAGACATCAAATCCAAAGCCGACGATCGAATCGCCCACGCGGAGACCAAAGTCCTCCAAAAGCGGCAAAGCCAAAGCAAATGTCAAAGTCGCGGATCGTCCAAAGAAGACAACAAATCCAAAGACGATGATCAAATCGTCAACGCGGAGACCAAAGCCCTCCAAAAGCGGCAAAATCAAAACAAATGTCAAAGTCGCGGATCGTCCAAAGAAGACAACAAATCCAAAGACGATGATCAAATCGCCAACGCGGAGACCAAAGTCCTCCAAAAGGCGGCAATGCCAAATCAAAGATCAAAGCCTCGGATCGTCTAAAAAAAGACATCAAATCCAAAACTGACGATCAAATCGCCCGCACGGAGACCAAAACCCTCCAAAAGCTGGCAAAGTCAAACTGAAGACCAAACCTCTTCGGATCAAAGAAGCCATCGAAAACCAAATTGGAAAATAAATCGACCCGGAAGGAGAATCAAATGACCCATTTAGAGAATAGGACCCGCTTTAAATTCAAATCAAATATAATTTGTACAAATTTTGTGTTTATTAAAAATAACACAATTTTTTGTCCATAGTATCGTTAATATATAATATTATTATGAGGGATTCACAACAATACTCAAAAAGAAAAACATCATACGAACAGTGGACTAAGAAAAAAAGCGATTTATTGTTAGAACTAAGGGTTGATGCTGCGACTCAGGGATGACTTGATAATAATGGTGTTTTTTCCAAAGCAACATTGGAAGAAAGAATACTTCATATTCTTAATGAAAGACTTCGGTGTAATAAAATGTATAGAAATTACCAAAGCCGCCTCAAATGGTTTAAAAACCGTTGGATATCTTATTCAAATCTTATGAAGTTTAGCTTTGATTTTGGGTACAACAAAACTCCTAAAAAATTTACAATTTCATGTGAAGTATGAGATGCGTACTTAAAGGTAAATTTTTTAAGCATCATATTATAATAATATTATAGTATTAATTTATTTTGATGATATAGTAATATATATTGTTTATGCTAGACACACTCAAAAGATGCATGTTTGCATTATGGGGAATGTCATGATTATGAGGACTTGGCTATTGCGGTAGGAAATGTTGTTGTTGTTGGAAAAAACTCTATTGAATTGGGTAGTGCTACTGATGTAAGGACATTAGAAGATGATGGAAATAGAAATGTACGTATAGAAAATTTGAATTATAATACTGAAAAATGAGATGTTTGTAAAACTATCTGAAAATGATCCGTCATACGGCTCTACATCATGTTTAGAGTTACCTGAAGTGCCTGAAATTTTAAATCAAAGAAGAGGTCAATCCAAAAGAAGTAGAGCTCAGTATTAAGCAAATTCTAGTTATATTAAAAATATTCTTCAGAAAGAGCTCATGGGAGAAATTAAAAACTAACAAACACTTTTAAAGAAGTTCATAATCTCTTAGAGAAAAGAAATACTATGCGAGAAAAGAAAATGAGAAAGAACATATATAACATGGGATGCTATCAAAAAAATTCCAAATTTGGACGAAGACATTCGTCTGAAGGCCTTTGACTTGATTGACACCAAGTAAAAAAAAAAAAACTGGATTTTTTAAGATGACTATTAAAGAAAGAGCTAATTGAATACCTTACAAGATTAGAGAGTAATGGTTCTTTAAATAATATACTAGATAATATGCTATGTTTTGTTGGGATTTTGTTAAGATTTATTATTATTATTATTATTATTATTATTATATTGAGATTCTTTTTAAAACTTTTCTTTTGTGCAGATATTTGAAATTAATAAATTTCGTATTTTTGTTATTATTTAAGTAAATATATTTCTTTAAATTGTATGCATTTGAGTGTAAGAATCTCTAAATTTGCGTTCAATCGATATATTTGTTTAATTTGTACTATGTGGTTTAATTAATTTTATTTACTATTTTTATATGAAACATGAAAATTCGTGAAATATTGGAAGAAGAAATTGAAACAGATTTGGAGATGGAGCTTTACGAAAATGTAAGCCTCCTAATGTTGGCAATTAAGGTGGTGATTATTTTATTAAGAAAAATTACTATAACACCTCAATATATTGGAGCTCATTTAAAGGGACGACCAATTACAAAAAAATGAATACTTTTTTTTACGTGATATGATTAAAAGAGATCCACAAAGTTTTCGACAGTTGTATAGAATGTATCCAGATGCATTTTTAAAGTTCTGCACTATCATCAGAGAGAAGAGTAAAAGATACCAGATAATATCTGTAGAAGAAATTGTGGCAACATTCTTGAGCATTACATGACACAACGATCGATATGGTAATATTTAACAGAGATTTGGTCGTTCGCATTTTGCTACTAGTCGAAACTTCAACAAAACCTTAAAGACGTTGAACACTATAGCACCATAAATGATGGTTAAACCATCTATAGGGGTGCCTTGTAAAATTCAAGAAAGTACAAGATTTGGCTCATTCTTTAAGGTATGAATCTTTTTAATAATATTATATATAATCTAAATTTAATATACTACTTTCGTCCTATAGAAAGGACTATATTTGTCTTTTGCGTCATTATACTTTAACATTGAAAATATTTTATATTTGTATAATTTACTCCACAAATGTCATTGTATTTGAATTATAAGAGACTAATAGAGTTATTTTTGTCAATTTCTTTTGATTTGGATTACGTATTGATATAATAATTAATATTTAAAAATCAACGTGCAAAAAACTCATGATATTCTTCTTATGGTACAGAGGTAATAGTAGTTTTTTTTAATAAGTGTTCATTTATTTCAGGATTGCATCGGAGCTATCGGTGGAATTCACATAAGGGCAACGGCAATAGGTCGTGAAGTAAACAATTATCGAAACCACCATGGTGTTCAATCACACAATGTTTTGGCTGTTTACAGCTTTGATTTGCAGTTTATATATGTGCTTAATATGTGTGAAGGGTCAATCGCATGACTCAAAATTTTTATATGATGCACTGTTAAGAAGAAATGGACTTCAAGTATGGTAGCATATTTTTTTATTATATTTATATATTTTTTAAAAATAGTGACAAACTAACTATTTTCTAATATTAATTTTTAGGTAAATATTTTTTTATGGATTGTGGATTCGCTAACCGACGTCAATTTTTAGCGATATTACGTTGTGTTTGATATCAAGATTCTCCGCATCTTGACGTGGAAAATGAATTTTAGAATTTCTTTCTCAAAATGAACTACAACAAAGAACAGAAGCTAATCCATGAAGAATGAGTATGACTAATACTATGTGAGAAATGAAGCGGGGTATAACGTTGAAGAAAATAAGATGACAAGAATGAAGATGAAAATAATAAATAATTTAATGTACTATTTTTTTTACTATTACAATTTTTTGTATTTTTATTTTTTTATTATTATTTTTTATTTACAAATATGTCTTATATAAATTTATATATATCAATAAAATAATTATTCCACAATCCTATGAAATTCATAAACAATCCAATCGAATATATAAAAATCCATTTAAATCAATAAATAAAATTCATCAAATTCCGCATAAATTCTGTTGATTTTTTAAATCCATATAAATTTTTTAAAATCAATAAAATTCTATAAAGTCTCAAATGAATACACCCCTAAATTTCTAAAAATACTTTCAATTATATTTTTATAATAAAATAATTATTTATTTTTTAATTCTATGTCAAATCCAAATGAGCTACATATTACGAATGAATAAATTAGATATTAATAAAATATTTAGATATATTTCTTTTAATTTTAAATTTCATGATTCTATCATTTGAATTCTGCATTTATTAAAAATATATATATTTTTTTCATAAAATATTCAGATCAAAATTTTCCTAAACCTATAAAAAAAATAAATACTACCCTCTATTTTTATTCTTAAATTTTGGTGTGAGATACAATTAAACTAATTTTAGACATTCTTTTAGACACAGAAAGAAACAAACAAGGGAACCTGAGTGAGGGGTAGGGGGCGGCCACTGCACAGTCACCCATGTCATGGGACTACTCCTCCTCTCTCTCTCTCTATCTCTCTCTTCTTTCTTCCCCCAAAACTGGCACACAAAAACAAAACAAACAGAGCCTCTCTCTCTCTCTCTCTCTCTCTCTCTCTCTCTTCTTTCTCTCACATTCTGCAGTCCCATCCCCTTTCACATTGGGAAATCCTCTTCCTATCCCCATTCCCATCCATGGTGTCTCCTCTCTCTCAGATCTCTCAACCCCATTAATATGTTCTTCTCTACATCTACATTTACATTCCACAGTTGTTCTTTAAATCTGCTATCCAAACAACATTTTCTGAATACATTTATTTGCAGCTAGCTATGTTGTTGTTGCTCTTCTTCTGCATTTTCTTCTTCTTCCCCGAAGCCTCTTCTGCAATTTTCTCCAATCTCACTCACCCATCCCCTCAATCTGTAGCCCAAGAACTCAACAGGTACTGTTATTGTTCTTCTCATTAATCTATCCAAAAGTCACACTAAAAGTTGTTCGATTTCTCTGAAAACTAAAGTGGGTTTTCTTTCGTTGAATTGCATTTCGAGATCTGCTGCTCTTTCCCAGATTAATTTGATTTTTAGTTTTTTTTTTTTTTGTTTGGGGGTATGAGTTAATTTTCTAATAAGTAGAATTGCCTGTCTCTGCATAGACATCCCATGTGTGTAGGAAAGTGCTTTCTTTCGTTTCCCAGCTTGTCCACATTTATGTGCCTTTTCTAATCTTGCTTTTCATCATTTGTTCCTTCGAATCCACATTTCTCTCTAATCTACTAGTATTTAATTATTTATGTCGATTTCGGACTATTTTGCAGTTGTTTTATGTAATTGTTGTGTTTAATAATCCACTAATTGATCCAAACAACTTGTCTTCATTTTATCAAGTAGTTATCACATCTATTGTCCTAAAACATATTTGTACGATTGTTTAGGTAATTGTCTTTTTGTTATAAATTGACAAATTTGTCCTTAATTGTACGGTAGAAATTAAAAATAATAAATGAATGAACGGTACAAATGTAAAATTTGTGTATAAGAAAGAAAATAGCACAATAGTTGTTGAACGTTTCAAATAAAAAAGTAGAGCAATTATTTTGAGATATTTTAGACATTTAGTTAATCCATCTAATGTTTTGATTTGATGTTTTTTTTTTTAATATATTTTTTAATATTAGTATTATATTCCCTCCGTCCAGCTACAAAGTATATATATATTTTATTTTGGAATGTCTAATTACAAAGTAACAATTTCATTAAATATTCCATTTTTTTTTCACAAATACTCTTATTTAATATCACATCACTACTTTTATACAAAAAGAAAAATAAGGGTAAAAATGTCATTATACTATTTTTACCTACCTATTATAATTAAAATACTATTATTTCTTAAACTTCGCACCAAAAGTAAATGTATACTTATTGTTTGGACGGATGGAGTATTAGTTTGTAGTAAAAAAGACGAAAATGCTCCTATTAGTATCATGTGTTATAAAAGTTGACATTTGTAATATATTATAAATTATAAGAGTATTTATTATGTTAAGTAGGCAGTACAATTACTAAATTAGAAAATGATGCCGGGAGAGGACAAAAATAGAAAATAGTATTTTTTTATGGGACGTAGAGAGTATTTATTTGTGTTATTGTGTTTATATTTTTGTTATTTTTTTTATTATATTTTGATATAATAATTAATATTCAAAGATCAAATACGCAACAATAAATAAAGATGACCCTTAGTGTCGTCGGATGGAGGTAGTAGTTTATGTTGAATATTGATTTTTGTGAGATAATAATAAAATATATATATATATACTCCCTCCGTCCCGGAACTAAATATCCATTTACTTTTTGCACGTAGTTTTAGAAATATTAGTATTATATTGGGATATAGTAGGAATAAAGTAGAAATGTTTAAAATAACTTTATTAGTATGTGATATAAAGGTATTGACATTTGTGTAATATATTGTAAGTTGTAAGGGTATTTGTAATGTTAAGTAGATAATACAGTTACTAAAAAAGAAAATGGATACTTTGTTATGAGACAGACTAAAATGAAAAAATGGATACTTTGTTATGGGACGGAGGGAGTATTAAAAATTGCTTAGAAAAATATTGTGCAAATTAACTCTAGATTTTTCTTTATTGTTCAGTTATATCTATTATATTAAGTTATTATTATTTGAATCTGTACACATTTAGGCTAATTGTATCGTCGATAACATGCAACTCTGAAATTCTGCAAAATGTAATACGATTGTTGTTCGATTTATTCTTAATAGGAGAGTGAATGCATCGGTGTCGAGGAGGCTCCTCCCGACTCCGGTAGTCGATGCACAATCTCAATGCCTCACCGGAAACCCCATCGACGATTGCTGGCGATGCGACGCCAATTGGGCCGCCAATCGCCAGCGTCTGGCCGAATGCGCAATCGGGTTCGGTAAAGATGTGATGGGGGGCAAAGGGGGGCGATTTTACGCCGTGACCGATTCGTCCGATCACGACACGGTGAACCCGACCCCCGGGACCCTTCGCCATGCCGTCATCCAAGACGAGCCGTTGTGGATTGTCTTCGCGTCGAACATGGTCATCAAGCTCAAGCACGAGCTAATCGTCAATAACTACAAGACCATCGACGGCCGCGGCGCCGACGTCCAAATCACCGGGAACGGTTGCATCACTTTGCAATACGTTAGCAACGTCATCATTCACAATATCCGTGTCTACGATTGCTTGCCGTCGGGGAATACCAACATCCGGGCGAGCCCTACGCACGTCGGGTGGCGGGGGAAGTCGGACGGCGACGGGATTTCGATTTTTGGCTCGAGGAATATATGGATCGATCATTGCACTTTGTCGCATTGCACGGACGGATTGATCGATGCCATTATGGGCTCGACGGCTATTACTATCTCGAACAACTATTTTTCGCACCACAACGAGGTTATGCTATTGGGACATGACGATAAGTACTTGCCGGACTCAGGAATGCAGGTTTGCTTTTCGATCTTTTCTATTTTTAGAAAGGCATATTTCGAACATTTACTAGGTTTTGAAACTTTCTCATTGTTATAATCGAATGTAGGTGACGATAGCTTTCAATCGATTCGGGGAGGGGCTCGTGCAACGAATGCCGAGGTGTCGGAGGGGTTATATTCATGTCGTGAACAACGATTTTTTCGAATGGAAAATGTATGCGATCGGGGGTAGTGCTAGTCCGACTATCAATAGCGAGGGCAATCGTTACACGGCGCCGATCGATCCTAGTGCAAAGGAGGTACTCGTAATTTCCCGTATTATTCATCATTTTTTTTTTTTGTAAAATCACGTATAATATTTAGACTCTGTTTACACAGATATCTTTTGAATATTTGACATTACTTACTAGAAGTAGTTTTTTAAAAAAATATCACATCAAATATATATTTTTCTCATAAAACATAATACTACCTTCGTCCCACAACAAGAGCACTATTTACTTTTTGCACATAAATGCTCCTATTAATGTGGTGTAATATAAAAGTAATAGCATTTGTACAATATATTGCAAGTTATAAGGGTATTTATTATGTTAGGTATGTAATACAATTACTATATTATGAAATAATATTTTTTATTTTGGAACGAACAAAAATAGAAAATTGAATTCTTTTTATGGTATAGAGAGAGTATCAAATATCTAATTATTTATTGTTTATAAAATTTTTAAAAACGACAAAACTTATAAAATTTCTATCTAATCGAGGTCTTTTCTTTTTCTTTTTTAAATTCAAGACAATGCCTGTAAAGACTCAGTTTTCATTCAAAATATTACATTAATACTTATTCAGCTCAAATTTTAACGACTAAATCTCGCTTTATCGACTCTTCACTAATGCGTACAATATTGTTTGATGGCGTGAGTATCCAATAGATAACGAGGCGAGAGGACACAAATGAAGGGGAGTGGTCGAATTGGAATTGGAGAACGGAAGGCGACATAATGGCCAACGGCGCATTTTTTGTGCCGTCGGGCGAAGGGGTCAATATGCAATACTCCAAGGCCTCTAGCCTTCAGGCCAAGTCGGCGACTCTCATTGACCAACTAACGATGAATGCCGGAGTTATCGGTGGCCCGAGGTACCCAATTTATTTCGCATTTGAATTTTGATTGAAAATTTTCATCTTAATCGCAAAATCTTATTACAACATACTTTTACAAGTTTTGACACAGTTCATCGACAGTAATTTTTTTTTTTAAAAAAATATCATATTAAATACTTATTTTTTTTCATAAAACATTGCCTAACTTTCTTGTTTTCTCAAAATTTTTTGGAGATATTTTACATGCATGTGTGTAGTAAAGTGTAGGCCCGAACTTTTGTCATAAGAATCTTACCAAGGAAATGCTTTGTCATCTTTTTTGCATGTTTTTGGTTGTGGGCAATTCCTTTTAGTAATAATTATTTTATTGGGATTGATTTTAATGTTTAAATGAAAATATATATGAAATGTAATTTTTTAGAAAAAAATGTAAATTAAAAATAAATAATAGTAATAGTATAAAAATCACAAATAAATAAAAATTGTTTAGAAGTTACAAGTAAAAATTGGAATAATTGTTGTGTTACATATTTCCGAATTAGTACTTTGTCCACAAAATCTATGTTTATTTGAGCTTAATATTCTCTCTCGTCATTCAAATCTATGTTCATTTTTCTTTTTGGGTTGTCATTGAAAAATATTTTCGTTTTTTTTAAGTAAAAAATTATTACATTTTGTACTTTTTTTTACTATAAAAGAAAAAAGTAATAATTATAACTTATTTTTATTAAAACTCGTGTCCGATCAAATGACCATATAGTGGGAGTATGAATTTTAATGAATATATTACGATATTAGTTGATTGTAGAATGAACATTTTATATGTTCAAACAAAAAGCAAATATGGATTTGGTGTATAAAGTATTTTATTTAAATACATTCTTCCCGGTCTATTTGAAAATATTATTCTAGATTTTTTTATAATAAATTAAAAAATAATATTTTATTAATTAGTAGAAAAATATAAGATATTGTGATATTTTTGCTTTTTAATTTTATGTAAATTAATTGTATATTGTTTGTAATTTAAGTAAAAATTGAAAAGTATTTTAGTAATAGTTAATAATTACTTTTAATAATATAAAAAAAATATTTTTAAATAACAAAAAAATGGCACTTTAACTTAGAACAGAAAGAATAATATTTTTGTTATTATAGATATGTCATTATCTATTTATCAATTTATCTTTATATTTTTATCAAAATATTATGATACCTTAATATTTACATTTTATATAAATATTAGTATTATATTAAAGTATGAAATTAATAATAAAAGATTATTATTATTATTTTTTTGTGTAGTAGTGTAAAAACTAATAACATTGATATAATAATAATGCAGTAATACGATTATTTATAAAAATAATATTATTATTATTTTAAAAGTGATGAACATTTAAAATAAAAATAAAATTATTCCTTTCGTTCAACTTCTCATGTCCATTTTTCTATTTTCGTTCGTCTAATTTATTTTTTCATTTTTTGTTTTTGAAAAAGAATTATACACTTTAATTTTATTTTAAAAAATTTAATTTATAATTTTTTTTTAATTTTAATTATACTAGTAAGTTATCTTAATCTATTATTATTTTTATCATACGATAATTATTTTACTAATATATTTTTAGTTATTTATTAATTATATTCCTTTTAAATTCTTGTGTATGTTAAAGTGGTAAATATACCCGGACGAAAGGAGTATTATTTTGAATTAGATAAAAGTATTCTCTCCGTCCACACAATAAGTATACATTTATTTTTGGCGCAGAGTTTAAGAAATAATAGTATTTTAATTATATTGGGTAGGTAAAAGTAGTGTAATGATATTTTTGTCCTTACTTTTTGATATAATAGTAACGATGTGATGTAAAGTAAGGGTATTTGTGAAAAAAGTAGGGTATTTAATAAAATGATTACTTTGTAATTGGACGTCTCAAAATAAAAATATGTATATTTTGTAGCCGAACGCATGAGTATTATTTAATGTCTTATAAAATTTCTAATTGGTTGAAAATAAGGAAGGTGCACAACACCAGGTATATAGGAATAATTGTTTCAGTGGCATACAGCTACGCTAATAAATGTGGGCCCACCAACCAAGAATATTACAGCCTTTTTGCTCTTTTCCCAATGGCCGTGTGGACCCCATTTCCTTTTATTTTATATTCTTCCTGTAAATGACATTATTACCCTTCCGATTGCAGGGACAATAGCATTAGCCTGTCTTACGGCGGAGGGGCCTCATACGGCGGCGGCTCTCATGGCGGCGGCGGCGGCGGCAGTGGTGGTGGCGGCGACTACTTTGGAATGATATTTGGGAGCGGCAGCGCCGCCGTAAGGTCGGCGGAGGCGCCGGCCGGCGCGGTGGTTCTGGGTTTAATAATTATTCTAATTTTGTACTTCAGTAACAACTATGGTGGTTTGCAATGAATTCTGACTGCTTGCCGCTAATTTTTTTTTTTATTATTATTATTTTAAATTTTTCGTAGATGGTCTTCAATTTTTGAAAAAAAAAAAATTGAATGAATTTGTTCTGAGTCACAGGAAATGTATTTAATGGAATATTATGGAGACATTTCACCGGAATAGTTCGTTATTGTTATTTTCAACCAATCAATTTTATTTATTCAGTTTTAACATTAAATATGCAGTTGTTATATTAATTTTATTTTAATCATAATTTTATTTTTCACTATTATTTTTCAAATATTCAATTTTTTTATTATTTTAAACAATTTTTTACTTTTATAATTTAAAATATATATATATTTTTTTAATTTAGAAAAATAAAAAATAAAATTTAAAATTTAAAAATTTAAAATTAAACACCAAAATTGGCGTTGTACTGTAGCAACGCCAAAAAATGATGCATGATTTGGTATCGGTTTCTCCAAGACGCCAAATCTGGCAACCCAAGACGCTGGGTTGGAGATGACCTAACTATTACTGTTGTTTTTAACGCCGTTTATAACAAAAATAGAAAAAATTTATAAAAATATATTTTAAATATATTAAATTATTATTTGTTTTTTAACTATTATTTTATAAAATTTAATTTTGCACGGTATTACAATTTTACTATTTCAGTATATTGATCGTGCGTAAATTTATTTTTTTAGTCACTTTATGAACACTAACAAAATATATTTTGTAATGTAAATGTCATAATTACGCTAAAATTATTCTGTATATATTTATATTATCCAATATTGTTACCACATGTCATTTAGTGGCCACCGGCCGTGGATTTGGCGAGTTGTAAAACTCACGTGCAAGATATCTTTTACTAGGGCGACAATAAAAAGACAATAGTTATAATTAGACATATGTATAAGATATTTTTTTTAAAAAAAAAAATTCTCCATAAAAAAGGATTACTACCAGTGCTTCGAGACGTTTTATAATCGGCTGGATTGATGATAAAATAGAATCTTAGGTTGTGAACAACGATTCAAATATATATAGTGGTAGTTATCAGTATCGTGCTGATAGCACAATAGTATATATACGATAGTACATTAGATATAAATTTACTACATTCATATAAAATAAAATTAACATTATGTACTAATAGTTTATCGAATATGTATTATTTATTATATTTTTATACCATATTTATAGTCTTTTTTATTGGATAATTGGCATCATGCTAGTAAATACTCAAATAGCACTATAACAGAATTGTATATACATCGAATTGAAGTGAATACCGCAATATTTGATTTGATTCGTGAAAATACTCAGCTATTCAATCGATTCGTTATCTTACAATGATATTTTATTTGATTCGACATTATTTTTAAATTTTTCAATTTGATTTTTTTAAAATGCAATTTTAACAATATTATTCAAATATTTGATAAAAGATTTGATTTAGTTTTATGTCTTATCTGATTCGATTCAAAACTATTTGATTCGAAATTTTATAATTAAAACTTTCAACAATATTAAGACAACTTTATAAAATAAATTCACGATTATAGTATAGTTGTAGTTTTAATTATATTATATATTTTTATTTATATAAAATTATAAAAGTAATATTATAAATAAAGTTAGTTTGATCTATTTATTTTGGGAAAGACATTTATAAGTCTACAATATTTTATACAATGTACATATATATATATATTATTACCGAATGAAATATTTATGAATATCTATTTGAATATTAAAATTTTATATTTGTATTTAATTCATATTCATATCGAATTTAAATATCTTTATTTAAATTCAAATAAAAAAAGTTTCAAATACGAATATCAAATCAAACAAAATTATTTGATTGGTTATATATAAAAAATAAAAATATTCTTTTTGGAAGTTCCACTCGTTTTCGTTTTTACATTCCAAAAATAATAATGAAAATAATCAAAGTCTCTCTCTCTATATTTCTTCATAAGTTCTTTGCTTTTAAAGTTTTGAAATTTTTCTGAAGTTTTCTAGAAAATTTATAATTAGATAGAATATTTTGTATAATCACTTGATTTTGGCAATCTAGAGATATCTTTTTTCTATTTAAGTTCGATCATTTTTACTTACCAATCATAATTTTGTATGATGTATTATGAAACTTTACCTTTTTCTTTTTTTCCTTCATTTGTATACAATTTCATGATTCTCGGTAAAAAAATAATTTATAGTGCTTTCGGTTAGCGGTTGAATTAATATTTGATTTATGATTCAATATATACTACAAGATTAAAAACATTTAAATTGTACAGTTAATTAATTAATATAATGATTGAATTTTAATACAATATATATAGTATTGATATAATTTTATAGAGAATAAATTTTTCTATAATATAGATAGATAAAAAAAATAAGTATTTATTTATAATTAAAAAAAATATGCAATTTATTATTTTTATCTATGTTCGGGAGATTTGTATTCCTTTCAGAAAATAAGTTCAGCAGCGGTATGGTGGAGAGATGCTTGCAGTGCACAACTTAGTCTTTAACTGAAGTTATAATCAAAGAGATAAGCGAACTTCTACAATTCTTATCTTTTGCAAAAAATGTGTATGTCAACTATGTGGCTCGAACTGCGCTTCAAGTATCACACGTATGCACCATCACTATTTAATATTTGTTCAGTTTTATTTTTTAATTAATTTTTTCATAAACGATGACATAATTTTATAATAATATGCATGCAGGGTAGAACAAATAAATTACTTATAAGATGCGTGAAGAGTCATTACACGATGCAAAAAAGTCATATCCATGGGTTGAAAGTGCTACAAGAGATCAAGAAATTTGAACGTGATCGCAGGAAGTATTTGTAAAACTTCTTGTGTGGATATGTCGAAAATTAATTAGATGATTAATAACATTGATTTACTGTTAAGAGGTTTCCTAAGTCATTAATCGACTGTAATTGTGTTATTGTATCTATTCAATGCAGTGTATTGCTAACTTGAAAATAGAATTGGGCTTTTTTTTTTTTTTTAATGACGTAGAATTAGCGTTCTTGTCTCTATATGTTGTCTAATAAAATTCTTATTATTGCGACAATTCGTAATTGATTGATATAAAATAAGTGTTACTGCTTATATTTCCAATTACTAATGATATATTTGGCCTTGACATCAAATAAGTATTACTGTTTATATTTTCAATTACTAATAGATATATTTGGCGGCAACTGCACTAATATCATTATATCTTTTTTTATATTATTCAGTTCCTTTTTAATTGTCTTTTTTTTTTTTTTTTTTTTTTTATTTCACTTCAATTGACATGTTTCTATTTTTGGTAAAAATCATTAAATTTAAACATATTTAACAAATATAAATCAATTTAATTAACTTTATAATATATAATATCAAATTATGTAGATTTTCAAAACGTCTTTATTTTTATCTCTCTTATCAATAAATCAATATAAATATTTATATTTAAAAGTCCTCATTTTTTATAAAATTTATTATTTTAATTATAAATATATAAATAATTTTTTTTTATTTGTTTGTATTATTTAAAATTTTATTCTTTACAAATTGATATTCATATTACATATATTTATTAAGATATAATAGTTCAAATATTTAAACACATATTTTAAATTTATTTTAATTATATATATTATTTTTTATTTTAAAATTACAATAATTTTATTCACATAAAAAATAATAAAACAATATTTTAATTCACTATTATTAATTAATTAAATTACATTATCATACAATAAAAATGAGTCAACTCTAATAGGTAGTATAAATTTGTATTTCTAAGGGCAACTCCAACCTATTGGGGCTCCAACCCACCCCCAAATCCCTCCCCCCCCCCCCCCCCATTTTTGGGGCACGCTTCACTCCATTTTTGGAGTGGAGTTTATGTTGTGTTTTGTGGTATTTGTATATTTTTATTATTTTTTTTCGATATATTGTGTAATTTTATTTTTTTGAAAAATTATATATAATTTTTTTTTAAAAAAGTGATATAATTTTATTTTTAAAAAATAATGTATAATTTTATTTTCTAAAAAGTGATATATAATTTTACCTTTCGAAAAGTGATATATAATTATTTAGTTTTTTAAAAATAATGTGTAATTATATGTATTTGGGTTATATTGTAAAAATAAATTAAAGTTGGGGTGTAATTTATAAATATAAAAAGTTATGTAAAATAATATAAAAGAGGAATATATATGGAATATACTTTTTAGAGTGAAAAATTGAAGTTTATGGTTGGAGTAAAATTACTTTAGATCAACTGCATTTTTACTGTAGCTACTGCAAAAATGAATGAATGGGTTGGAGAGGTATAATATATACTATTACCAAGAAAATTATTTTGTAATTTAAAAAAAAACAAACATAAGTTAATCAGAACATCTTTATCAAGCAATAATAATAAATAATGTGATTTTGCTCGGGAAAAATAAAATTTTATCAAATGTTTTAGTGCAAGCAATAATAATAATAATAATAATAATAATAATAATAATAATAGTAATAATAATTCGGTTATGCATACATATATTTCCCTCAATAAATTATTTATGTACAAAAATTAGAAAAAATTAGCAACGTCAAGCACAAAAACACTTGTTATTAATTATCCACCAACACTCAGTTCACGAAATCAAAAAATAAAAAAATGCATACAAAAATAATGAATATGGTGACCAAGTTCTATCAGAATGGTCTACATAGCCTAGTAGATATTTGCATTAGTAATATCAGAATAGGAGTTACAGAAGAGAATAAATTAAATAAATAAATAAATATATATACACTACAAAAAAATATCAATTTTGTAACGAGATTTTTTCGTTCTTAAATCAATTTTTTCCGTTACTAATGATATTAGAGACGGAATTAAGGATGGAATTACGTTAGCTACGTGAACTTTAGAAACGAAATTCCGTTACAAATATACTATTTTTTTTTTGTAGTGATATATATATATATATATATAGAAGTGTAGGCGAAACCCTGACACCCGTACAAAATATCAAAGGGATTAACAAATGAAATCTAACTCGAGCTTGAACTTCACACCATCACTACAAAAAAATAATATATTTGTAACGGAATTCCGTCCCTAAAGTTCATGTAGCTAACGTAATTCCATTCCTAATTCCGTCTTT